ATGTTACACTACAAATGAAAAAGCTTTGAGAAAGGTTTATTTGCACAATAAGAAAACATGCAATGCAATTTAAATATAGAAGAAATAAATGTGCATTGTCCAAGAAAGTTACTTAAGCAACAAAAAAATCTACTGATTACTGCATTATATTCCCTTTTATTGTTGTAAGTAAAGACATTTACTCCATAAATTGGTGCAGAAACTTTCTCCAGAATGCAGGAAATTAATTAATGCTCAAAATCTTCTGGGGAGGACACCCAGACCCCCCATTTACATTTTATCATTGAATATTTCTTCAAAGTAGTGTTAAACTACCTTAATTGTCCCAGATTGCTGGATGTGTCCCTGATGTTAACATATATTTAAATATGACGTTTGTTAGCAAATATCAACGTTACCTCTAGAAATTTATTGTAGCAGAGTTTGACCTAAGGAATACACCTTTTGTCTTTTAAAAAATGCCGGGTATAGGCCTACTGTATAGCCTACTGTGCTGAGTAAGTCACTTGTTGCTAACAAAAAAGACTGTGTCTGAAACAAAAGAAATCTAAACACTGTATCAGAGCAGATCAAGAGTATGGTTTTGTTCTGTATTTGCTTTAAGCTGGAAGAGAAAGATCTTCTGACCCTGGATTCTGCAGCAATTTCTGATAATTAAGTGCAGGAGGAGAGGGATAATGAAGAATAAAATAATAATATTATACTCTTTCAAAGACTTATTTCTAGATCCTATATTGTTTCCACAATTAATAGGGAAATCACTGTAAATACAATTGCTTATTCTACTGTGTGTGTGTGTGTGTGTGTGTGTGTGTGTGTGTGTGTGTGTCACTGTGATGGCACATACACAGGATCAGTTTTGGGCAAGTTACTTCCAAAAATGTAATACATTATAGATTACTAGTTATTGTCATTTGAAAGTAATTAGTTATATTACCTGTCCAGGGTGTACCCTGCCTTTTGCCCGACGTCAGCTGGGATTGTCTCCAGCCCCCTGTGACCCTGTACACAGGATAAGCAGTTGACAATGGATGGATGGATGGATGAACATTGTATAATGTCAAAAACAAAAGGATTAAGCTATACATGTGACATATAGATAATCACCAGCACACCCACAGGCCTACACACAAGCTGACTGAATCTCAATCAGTATGCTCGCCTGTATGTCTATAGCATGGACATACACACTAATACTGTAACTGTAACAGTGGATAATAACACTTAAAAGTTTAAAACAATCTTTCAACCAGATTTATGGAATAAATAATAATGATCTCAGAATGGATCTTTAGTCTGTCTACCATCATCTTATAGAAGTTTTTTTAATGATTAACACGATATTCTGAATTTATCTTATTGACAGATATTTTATTAAGTATTTTATTAATTTGCATGATTGCCATTATAATTCAGTTCAAAAACACAAACCAGACACAAGCTTTTATTTTGCAAAGTAGAAGCTTGTGGATGGCACCAGGGCAAGAGACTAGAGGCTCCAGCATGCAGTCATACAGTCTTGCCACTGAGGGACACTGCTTCGTAGGCTCGTTCCACGGTTGGAGATCATCCACTGCACATGCACAAATCAGAATGGACGGCACAGTGAGAAATGGGAAAACACATAAAGAAAAATACAGAAAACGTAAATTCGACCTATTATTTTGTTTTGGTTTCCTTGTTTATTATATTTCTCATTTTGAGCTGAAAGCAAGGAAACAAATGCCAGTTTTCATATTTGATTTATATAGAAAAACAGAAACACGAAATATTTATTAGTTTTTTGTTTTTGGTTTGCCAGATTAAATGGAATAATTGAATGATCGGATGATAAACGGACCAGTGAGTTTAGTGAACTCTTGGAAACTAAGGATAAAGAAATAATCGTCACTAACTATGAACATAACAGACATTTTCTCATTTCACTTTATTTTTCATCATTTTCTCAACAGCAGCAGCTGAAAAACTTCCCCTCTACTTCACTGTCAGAGTTGGAGATGAAGTCACTTTGCCTTGTGAAAATGTGATAGAAGGTCAGCGAAAATGTGAATATACTACATGGGTCTTCAGGGGTTCAGCAGTAGCCCTGATTAAACTTGGGCAGATTGGTGTAAAGTCCAAAACTAAATCAGACAGACTGAGTGTTACAGAGAACTGTTCTCTGGTTATAAAGAAGGTCACAGTCGAGGATGTTGGTCGTTATTACTGTCAACAGTTCATATCAGGACAACATCAAGCTCCAGACTCTCAGGTTTATCTGTCTGTTATTACCAGTGAGTATTTCCATCATAATGTTTTCAGCTCAAACTGTCTTGTTAGAACAATATACTGAAACATTACAATAATTATGATCACAGTGATGAAGTTAACTTTACTCTTGTTGTCTTTCTCTCACAATATCTCCATCTTCACCAGTGACTGAACGTAAGGACGCTGATGAGGTGACGTTATACTGCTCTGTGTTGACGCGTGAACAGTTCTGTGAACACACAGTGAAGTGGCTGTATGAGGGTAAAGATGTGGACAAAGATAACAAAGAAATGAAGACATGGCAGTCTGTCTGCTACGCCGCTGTGTCTTTCCTGGATTCTCATTTTAGTTACAAATCAAAGTCTAACTTGAAGTGTGAAGTGACAGATGGTTACTCTGGAAAAGTGCAGCTGTTCACCTTCAGCCCTCAGTCCTCAGGTGAGAAAACAGGTGAGAATATGCTGAGCTGTTCAAGATGACTAAAACCACCAAAACATTTGTTTATTTGATGACTTTTTAAGATGACATCATTCTTTATCATTTAGTGACAGCAGATGGTAAACATGAGGTATTTTCTAACTGAACAGTTTTGTGGGTTGTGTTATTTAATTCATACAGGTGACGCACAAACAACAACAACAACTGAAAACACAAAATCAGTTACAGCCACAACAACAACCAATGATCCTTCAACAAACCTTCAAGGTAGTAACTCATCTTTCTCTAGTGTCAGCCTCTTTCTCTCTCCATAATAAACCTCATTTTACTTTTATTTTATTCATTGTCTAATTTTTTGTTTTGCATGTTTGTACTTTTAGGCATTTTTATGGCAAAACATAAAATAATGAAAGCCTCTTTAATTAAGTCACTTTCTGGAAAGACAAAACTGACCATTCATTGTATAAAACAGAAAATAGGAAGTGATCGAGAAAATTATTATTGATTTACTGATTTTTAATTGTATCTCTCCTCTTCTGAAGTCTGAATGTCAGAGCGACACTCAGCTGTGGGAGGAAATATTTTCTTATTCAGTCAGACGTCTTCACACAACACAACTAACAAAATAAGATGTTGTCCTCTTTTATAGTCTATCGAGTTTGGTGGTGGTATGTTGCAGTTGCAGCTCTCTTATAACTGTTGTTATTGTTGTTGGATTCATCATATGGAAGAAAACTAAAGGTGAGAGCAACCACAGATATTGTAAACAAGAAGTTTTGATGGACCTGGATTTTTATTGTTGAAGCTAAAGTCGACTCTCTTTTGTCTCTTCAGGAAAAAAACCCAGATGGATGAAAACACTGTGAGTTTTACGGCTGAGTAATCAAATGTTTCTACAGTTATGACAGAGCTGAATCAGCTGCTCTCTGACAGAGTCATCCAAATCTAAACAGCCTTCACAGAGCCAGTGTTTGACCACATGGAAGTAGACTCTGTTTGTTTGTTGTTTTCAGGGACGGAGCTTAAACCCTGCAGTGAGTCCAGAAAGCAGTCAGGACACGGTGAGATCTCACACTACACCCAGGACAAAGTTACACTCACTGTTTTTAGATTTGTTGTTCAAAATGTAGCTCTATGAGACACACAGTGACTCTTGAATCTAAGTTCTTTCTGCAAGAGAAGAAGTGGGGAGTCTGATGATGCAGCTGGACGACACCAGAACAGACCAGAACACAATCAAGTCCACATGTTACTGAGCAGCCATTATGTTGTCTTCTCTGTGTAGGCTGATCCTGAAGATGGTGTTTCCTACGCCTCCATCAGCTACACCAGGAAGACCAACAGTAAAGGCCGGGTAAGCTGTCTGATTGGTTCTAGTGATGATGGCAGTGAATGAAAACACTTCTCTCATTTAATGTTGTGTAATTTCTTTGTTGTGCTGTTTGTCTCTTTTCCAGGTTCTGGGTAAAGATGGTGATGATGAAGATGATGCAGTGACCTACAGCAGCGTGAAAGCTTCCTCTTCTTCTGCTGGAGCCTCAGCTGATCCCAGCGACCTCTACGCCACCGTCAACAAACCAAACAAATAAGAGACCACAGTGTAGTTACAGCTCATATCATTACAGTTTATTGATAACTGATAAATGTTTTTATTAGACTTCTTTTATGATCATTTTCAGGATTTATTGCTGTAAAAAGCCTTTTAGTCCAGAAGGGGGTGCAGTAGGTTAACTAGTAGCACAATAACATTATCTGGCTGCTTGAAATGTAACTGAACATAATAAATGGGACATTTAGCTTGATGAACTTGCTGTCAGGCACTTTAATGTGCTAGTGCTGTGTTTTTTTATGTTCTGGTATGAAAGTAATTAAAACAAACTCAGAGGAAGTGGGGCAGTTTTGTTTTGACTGAGTCACTTTTGAGAGTTGAATTAAACAGCTGAATGAGAGGAAACTGTGGAAACACCACAAGGGTTAAATTTTCACTGGTGTTAATTCCAGATACTCAAATAAAGCAACAACTGAAATATGAGAGGAAAAGGAAAGGACACAGTGTCACAATGAGCAAGTGAAAAATGATTGTTTAGAGGAAGCAGATAAAACATTTGTCTTTAAGAAGCAACCCGTTTAGAGATTTGAAAAGTAGAAAGGGCAGAGAGAAACGAGAGAGTCTCGATGGTTGAGTCAGATGGATTAAAATGTCTTTATTTGTAATGGTGCTTCAGTTTACAGGTCAGGATGGATATGACATGTGTTTTTGTTCTGTGGCAGGACACATTATCCTGCTGAAAGAGGCCACTGCCATCGGGGAATGAATTGAATTTATTTCAGGATAGAGATCATCTCATTTTTGCATAAAACATTCTTTAACAGAATGTTCACATTACATTTAGCTGACGATTATATCCAAAGCGACTTACTATTTTGACATATGTCAGAAGTTGCAACTTGGGGTCAAATGTCAAAGCATCACACTGCCTCCGCTGGCTTGTCCTCTTTCCATAGTGTATCCTGGTGCCACGTGTTCCCCAGGAAGAGGAACTTTCACGGTGCTGTAAGTCTCTGCATCATCTTCATCATCACCATGTTTACCCAGAACCTGGAAAAGAGAAACAGCACAACACAGAAATTACACAACATTAAATGAGACAAATGATGCAGGTTAATGCAACATTATGATATCCAGCCATCAATTTGATATAGAAAAAGTGATTCATAAGGCTGATAAATCTGATGCTCACATGCTCATTGTAGGTACTTTCAACAGTGGACAGGGGTCAGTGCAGGCAAACTGACTGGTCTGTAGCTACGCAGGCCCACACACAACAAACCGGGGTGTACTGTGTGTTCTGACCGCTATTACCTTCTTCAGCAATCTGACTGCTTTTCTGTTGGATCGGACGACATGCGTCAATGAGCCTTGGCCATCCATGACCTTGTCACCGGTTCACAACTTTTCTTTCCTTGGACCACTTTTGATAGGTACTGACCACTGCAGACTAAAACAAGGATAGAGATACAGAAACACAGAGCAGACAAGAACAAATCATGACAGCGTGCCCATTCTCCTGCGTCTAATGCTGGCCGCACAAGAGAGGATATCTGAATTTGGGTTCAATTCATCCCTCCCGACTATTTTTTTAGTTGTTTTTTTTGAAGAGGTTGGTTGAAACCGATTAAAGGCCCAAATAATCCGGTAGTGTGAGGGGTTTGCAGCCATAATCTTAAGGTTGCCAACTTTATTGGAGGCACCCCTGGTCATCATTAGAGGTTAAAAGATCCAAATCAAAAACATCTGAAATGAAGCACTAACAGCCAGGGAAGAGAGAAAGACGTCCCAGAAAGGGTGCGAGCTAATTCTGCATTTTATTCACAACGCTGCAACATTTCCATGCAGAATAGCAACGCCGCTGCATGCTGTCAAGCTAGATGGATGGCATTCTGAGACAAGGTCACTCTC